CCCTCCCCTCCCCTCCCCCAAGGAAGGAAGACCTAAACTAAGGGACAAACTCCAGTTCCCAAAACTCCATAGCATCAAACCATGGCAGTTAAAGCGGCGTCAAACCGGATTAATTTTGCAGCCTCAACTCCTCCTGGAGGAGGGGGAGGATGGGATTTGTAGTCCCCCCCTGAGGAGGGGGTCCTGCAATGGGGAGGGTGGTCCAGGAGGGTCACGTGCCTTACCTGCCGGCTGCCTCCTCTTTTCCTTTCTCTCTCTCTTTCTTTCTTTCTTTCTCCAGGAGACAAAGGAGAGCACGAGCCCCGCCCCCTCCTTCTTCCCCTTGAGCGACGGCCGCCTCGGCCAACCAGCGCCCGGCTCCCCCGGCGGAGGGGCGGGGCCAAGGGCTGCGGAGGCCACGTGCGGAGCCTGGGAGCCCCGGTGCGCGGCCACGTGAGGGGGCGGGGACAGAACGCCGCCGGGACACGTGCGGGGGCGGGGCCTCGCCGAGGGGGGGCACGTGGGCCCTTGGGAAGGAAAAGGAAAAGGAAAGAAAGGAGTTGCATTTCTTTAAAAATTGCATTTAAAGGAATTGCATTTTTGAATTGCATTTTCAAAATTGTATTTAAAGGAATTGCATTTTTTAAAAATTGTATTTAAATCAATTGCATTTTTTAAAAATTGCATTTAAAGGAGTTGCATTTTTAAACAATTGTATTTAAATCAATGGCATTTTTTAAAAAAATTGCATCTAAAGAATTTCATTTTTTAAAATTGCATTTTTTAAAATTGCATTTTTCACAATTGCATTTAAAGGAATTGTATTTTTGAATTGCACTTTTAAAATTACATTTAAAGGAGTTGCATGTTTTAAAAACTGCATTCAAAGGAAGAGAATTTTTAAAAATTTCATTTAAAGGAATTGCATTTTTTGAAAGAGTGCATTCAAAGGAAGAACATTTTTAAAGCTGCAATCTAAAGGTGCATTTAAAGCTGCATTTAAAGAAATGGCCACACAGTCCAAAAAACCCACAATTAAAAAAAAAGAAATTGCATTTTTGAATTGCATTTTTAAAAATTGCATCTTAAAGAATTGCATTTTAAAAAAATTACATGCAACGGAATTACATTTTTTTTTCAAAGGAAGAGCATTTTTAAAACTGCATTTAAAGGAATTGCATTTTTTTAATGGCATTCAAAACCTCCTGGCACATATTTACAAACAGAGAATTTGCAAAGTTACTTTCTAACCCAATTTGTTTCTGTTCCTCTTCTTTTTGTTTGGGGAAAAAAATATTCCTTGTTAACAAAGTAACTTCTCAGGCCTCTCTTTTGCTTTGCGTCTGACTTTCCCTTTCTTTGCAAATGAGAAGAGAAGAAGGAGGAGAGCAAATGCCTTCAGAAAAGCTCTCTTGTCATGCCTTAAAAATCACCCTTTAAAAATAAAACTTGGAAACCTCAGTCTAAAGGTTAGACTAGTAAAGTCAAATAAAATTAAAATAATGTTAGATCAGTAAATTCAATTGCATTTGTTATGTCACCTTTAAAATGTGACTTTATTGCCATGTTTGCCATGGCCTTCCCCAGAGGCTGAGAGAGTGTGACTTCTTGCCCAGGGTCACCCAGTGGGTTTACATGGCTGAGCAGGGATTCGAACCCAGGTCTCCAGAGTAGCATCCAACACACAAACCACTATCCCACGCTGGCTCACACGACTGATGAGGCTGTTCTTTAAAAAATAAGCCTACACTTATTATTATTATTATTATTATTATTATTATTATTATTATTCCATTTATTTTTTATCCCACCTTCCTCCAGGTATAGGAGCTCAAGGCATCTAAAAAAATTTAAAACAGTCCACATTAAAACAGTGTGAAGCATTAAAAATACAAAGTTTAAAAGAAAACAGCCAACCATTTCAAAAAGTTGAAAGCATCACGTATTAAAATTTAATAACTCTTTATAAAATTCTTGTATAATCTCATACAACACCTGTGCCGGTGTGGTGATGATGATGATGATGATGATACAAAGTGCTGAAATCAAAATCTGCTGAAGCAGAGAGACAAAGAGCAGAAGAGGGAGGCAGGCCTGGTCCATCCATCCCTGATGGAGGAAGGATGCTGAAGATGCTGGGCTCTGATTGGCTGAGAGGGATGCAGGCACCAGGGATGCTCAGGGATTACAGCATCTGCCTTCTGGAGCATCCGATTGTGGCCACGACGCCAGATCCCACACGATCCTCTCTGATGGAAGGGTCCCTGCGGCGGGATGAGCTCCACAGGGATCCATCGGGGTTACCTCCGAAAATATGGTGAGTGCCCCCCCCCCAATTCAATCTCTTCCTAATTTTGCAAAAATGTTGCAAGGACCTTTCCATTTCCAGGAAGCAAGGGAAGGAAGGGAGCAGGGCTCGGAATCAGAATCGGGGCAAAAATAAAATAAAAATTACACATTTCTGTGACAGAAACAGATCACTTGCCCATGTGGATCCAATGCAGTTGAAGATCTAATTCATTATTTACTTGTACTCAAAGAAATTTACAAAGATATAAGAGGTGCCTTATTCAAAGAGCTAAGACTGGTACCAAATGGTTCTGATTCGTATTTGATCCATTTTTCTAAAGTTAGGGGATGCTGCACTATTATACGCTTTAAAGGCTTGCTTTGCCTTTAAAGCATCAGTTTTAAGGAGGAGGTTTTGTAGGTTTCAGAATAGATTTGAACCTATAAACATTCCTTTTGGATAAAGTAATGTTATGTTTTCCCAGTTTATCTGATCTCTGTGTCTATTTAGTTTGAATTGAGCCTATAAGGTTAGTGTTTTTAGATGGTTCTAGCTATGCGATGTAACATACTAAATTCAACAAGGCCAAAATCCAACAGGGAGAACTTGCCTGTCATTGCCTTGCCGGGCTTGGAGGGACTTTGAGGCCGTGAGCCATACCTGTTGAATACCTGCCTGTCCTACCGCTTCAACTTTGATATTTTTCTGTGTTTTAATGTCTCAAATGCACAAGTGGGCAGCTTCTCCAGCACTTTTGGGAGTAACACCCTTTTCTCTCCAATTGCAAAAACAAAAACACAACTCATGCACCATTTGCTGAATTCATCCTAGCACCTAACCCCCTTGCTGTAATTTAAACCTCCTGTGGGAGGTTATGCATGCATATATATATATATATATATATATATATATATATATGCAAACATGTTGGTTGCACCCCCCATCCTCCTGATATGCATGCATCTTCCTCCTAATATACATGCATATATATATATATATATATATATATATGCAAAAATGTTGGTTGCACCCCCGTCCTCCTGATCTGTTTTGTGCCAAGGTACAGCCTTCCCGCGGGATTACAACAGCCAGCATTTGATTGCATCCTAATCCCAAGGCAGCAAAGAGAGAATTTAATCAGGAATTTAATCTCTTTGTTGCTGTGCATGATGTTTGTCCTGTCTTAGGGCCTGGTGACAGACTGATGGGAAAAGAATGGCTTTAGTTGCAAATTATTTTGTGGGATGAAAGAGCCATCTGACCACTCAGTCATGAGAGCCCAATGAGTAGCCGAGATGAGTAACCGTGGCTTTCATTCAACAGGGAACAAAGCTTGTTTCCCACCAAGCCTTCGGCAGTTAAAACGGACATAGTTTTAAAAATTCATAGAAATAATAGTAAAACCAAAAACAAGAAACTATCCAGCTATCATAAAATTAAAAGTAGTTGTTAAACAGAAAAAGAGCATTAAACAAGAACAAGAAGAAATAAAAGTCTAGCTTATATTCCTGGGAGTAAAAAATCAATTCTGCCAAAATAAAAAGGGGCTTACCTGCTTGCAGAAAGATTGCAAGGAGGGTGCCAGTCCATCTTCTCTGGGAAGGGAGATCCAGAGCCTAGGAGCAGCCACAGAAAAGTCCCTCTCTCCCATGTTTCCCCCAAAAAATGGTCCTGGAGAAGGGCCACCCCAGATCATTGTTTTCTTGTTGTGTGCCTTCAAGTCATTTCCAATTTATGGCAACCCAAATGCAAACCTATCATTGGGTCATCCTCTGAGGTTGAGAGAGTGTGACTTGCCCAGTAGGTTTCCATGGCTGACCGGGGATTTGAACCTTGGCTTTCCAAAGGCCTATTTTGTTGTTGTGTGCCTTCAAGTCATTTCCAGTGTACGCTGACCCTAAGGCAAACCTGACATGGGGTTTTCTTGGCAAGTTTCTTCAAAGGGGGTTTATCAGTGCCATCACCTAAGGCTAAGAGAGTGTGATTTGCCCAAGGTCATCCAGTGAGTTTAGACTGTTGAGCCAGTATTCAAACCCTGGTTTCCAGAGTTCAAACCACTGTGCCTCGCTGGCTCACAATAGCCAAGCATGGCAAAAATCGTTCTTTGCAAACCATTTTTTGCAAAAATGGATGGGTTGGGTGCTGTGCAAGAGAATTGACCCTTGAGGCCGCATGTGAGTTTCCATACCCCGATCTATTGGGTTCACCAGTGCAATCAGTACCAGTAAATATGTACCGGATTTCAGCTTCCATGGCTGGTCACGTTGGCATCCCTCGCCATGGCACCCTATGACGTGTCCCCACAGTTCTGACTTTAGTCCCCCGCCAGCCTTGACCTGGAGTCGTCTTTTGCAGGAGGCTTCCTCTTTAAGCAATGGAAGGAGAAATTCCTTGTCCTCTCGGTGGATGGCAGCCTGCTTGTGTGTCCGGACGCCGACTCTCCAGCCGAGCTGGGCATCGCCTTGAGCACCAACTGTGATGCCATCCTGGAGGGCAGCGAGATCTGCAACCTGCCACGTCTTCCTTTGGGTGCCCAGAGAGACAGCTGCTTGGGACTTCGCCTCAATGATGGGAAAGTCCTGCTCCTCCTGGCTCCGGACATCCAAGAATGCAGGTAAGAAACCTTTGGCTATAAAGCCAGGTGGGTGATTTTGGATGGTCCATTTTGCATTAGGCTGGAACCACTCTGAGCTGCACTGGCTCCGACTGGGAAAACTAGAAGTGACCAGAAAACTCACTTGCGTTTCTTTTCAAACATAACAGCTAAGAGCCCTTCCACATGACACAGTTATAGTGCCATGATTCCACTTCTTCTAACCTATGGACTCCGGGGGTTTGTAGTTTGGGGAGTTCTAAGCATCCCTCTCTGAACTGCAAATCCCAGGCGTTCCATAGAGTGTTGTTGCGGCAGTCAAAGTGGAATCATAGCAGTGTGATTGTGTAGCATGAAAGGGCCCTAAAATAGGTTTAAGTAGGAAGGATGTTTATTCAGGGGTAGCCGTGTTGGCCATATATCAATGTACAATAACATCCAGAATCCACAAAATTCAGTATCACTTTTTTGTGTGTGATAATTTTATTTGGTGAATAAAGGTATCACTGTTTTGTGAGTTTAGGAAGGATGGGGAATTAGGCCACCAAGACTCTGCTGGAGGTGTGATACTCTCTTTCCTTCCTTCCTTCCTTCCTTCCTTCCTTCCTTCCTCCCCACTTTCTCTCTCTCTTCATCAAATAAATAATTATTGGGGGTTATGAGAAATGACCTCTGTGGTTGCCATCCTGCAAAATCCCCACCCCTTCTATAAAGGTTGCCACCCTGCAAAATATCCTGCAAAATATCCACCCCTTCTATAATGTGGGCATGTTTCTTCAACAATGTTGGTGTAAGTGATTTGCAAGATGATTTGGAAAGACTCAGTGCAAGACGTCTCTCTTTTTTCCTGACTTTTTTGCAGACAGTGGCTCAACATCCTGAGAAAAGTCAAAGAGGTAAGGGTCTGAAGTTAAGATGCCAGGGAATGGATGGAGGCATCAGTTTGCCAGTCTGAGATCCTGGATCATGGAGGCAGAGCGTCATGGCCTTTTGGGCATCTCTGTGCCCTCCCTCCGTCCCCAGTGGTGGTCAAGCTTCAAGGGGAGCCATTTTTGGTGATGTTTCCCAGTTGGAAAAGAGGGAGGGAGCTGGAAGAAGAAGCGGCTGGTCTAGGCTGCAAGGGGAAGGCTGCTCTTCCTTCTCCTAGCAGCCCAGAGCAGCCTCACTGTCATTACTTCATTACATTACTTGCTTACGCTTGCAAAAATGCCCTCCAGGTTGGACATGATAGTAAATACACTGGCAGGGAGGGTATAACCTATCTAAAAGGTAATTTGCAGTTCCTGCAGTCACTTCAGCTCTTTAAGACCAGGAAAGTGTAGGAATTCTGGAAGGGCAGAGAACCACAGAAAGAACAATGCCAGGGCTAGCGTGGCCAGGTTTTCAAAATAGCTAGAAAGGATGGTCAAAATTCAGGAGATGAAGTAGCTGTTAACAAGTGTGTGTTCTGCTGAGATACCAAAGGAAAAGTCTTAATTTCAGTTCACTTGGCCCTTTTTTCTCTCTGTAAAATCAAACTATGGTCCACATTCATGAATCGCATGATGCACACAATTCTGTCTTTATGAAGGGCTCTCACCCCAAAATACAGGATTTTTAAGCACCTTGTTCAATCTAGAAGAAAAGAAAACCTTTCCAACCCTCAAAGTAGGAGCATCCCTTGTAAGAAGGGAAACCTGGCAGTCTGAGAAGGGACCAACTTTACAGACCTCAAGTAAGGGACATCCTTTATAATAAGAGAAACTTGGTTTCTGTATCTGGAAATGCACTCCACCTATCCATGGCTTAAATGAAAGAGAGACATCTCATATAGGGATTGTCTGA